AGTCAACTTCAATGGGACTCTCTCCTTTCTGCTGACATTTTATCAACTCCTTGCTGGAGTACTAGATTCTCCTTATAGCATAATTCCCTGTGCAGGGTATTTCCTGCAGAAAGCTGACCTCAGGCCTGTGGTTCATTCCAGGGCTCAGAACTTTCATTCTTAATATAGAATGTGGAAATTCTACAACCGGTGGGAAAAAAGTATGCCAAGTAGATAAAAATCAGTCCCACTGCAGCATTAACTCTCCAGAGAGAAGAGATAAAACTGCTTGATGCTTAAGTTTAAAAAAAAAAAAAGTAACAAAATATTTCCAGTTCCGGAAACTGAATTTCATTCCTAATGTAAATATAGAAGCCTCTGGAGAAGATCATAGTTGGGAGAGGGAAGAAAAGCAAAGGGAACAGTACGAAAGGATTTCACCACCCATCTCCACAGCTTCATAGCAAAGAAACCACCCAAAGACATCAACCGTGTCTTTGATAGTAGATGCTCCAGTCAGAAAACTGAGTTTGACTTTTTTTCCTTCCTCAATCCCCACATCGCATCAGTTGCCAGGCCCTGGTGGCTCCCTCTCTCCCTCTCCCTAAGTACTTCTCTCTTTTTTTTAAATGATTCCCTATAATTGACATGTAACTTTGTGTAAGTTTAAATTTCACAATGCGCAATGGGTTGATTCGCTACATTTCTATATTGCAATATGATTACTACCTCCTGTTAGCTAACACCTCTGTTGCGTCACATAATTATCATTTCATTTTGTGGTGGAAACGAATAAGATCCACTCTCTTAGCAACTTTGCAATAGATGATACGTGATTGTTGACTATAATCACAAGGCTAAATATTTCTAATCCTATCTATTTTCTTCCTTACGTCGGTCCTCCTAGTCCAAGCTATTACTTTCCTGCCTAGAACACTGCACTGGCCTGATACATCTTCCCCAGTTCCCCTCTGCCTCTCAATTCATCGTCTATGTGGCAATGAGAATAATACTTCCAAAATAGAGGTTTGATCCCTTGTTTACAATGCCTTCGACCCCTCACTATTCATGGTTAGAGTAAACGTCTATTATCATGTGGATAACAAGAGAATAGTGATGAGGACTATTTGGGGGGTAAGTGCCTTCAGAAACCGAAAGGCCGTGTGAGTGGAGCCTCTGGAGTGCAAGATGACATCGTGGAAGTTGGGAAATTCCATTCAGTACATACACTGAGCACCTACTGTGTGCTTGGCACTGGACCAGATGCTAGGATGCACAGGGAAATAGAGAATAGAGAGATGACCTGGAGGACTCCTGTGAGGGAACTTGCTATTAAAGGGAGCAGAAAGATGGCAGGCTGAAACAACAGTGAGGTCAAATAGTTTTTTTTTTTCTTTGCTTTAAAATGCCATCATATTGTAGGCTGGTAAGAAAGTACTACTGAGGGATCCCTGGGTGGCGCAGCGGTTTGGCGCCCGCCTTTGGCCCAGGGCGCGATCCTGGAGACCCGGGATCGAATCCCACATCGGGCTCCCGGTGCATGGAGCCTGCTTCTCCCTCTGCTTGTGTCTCTGCCTCTCTCTCTCTATCTGTGTGACTGTCATAAATAAATAAAAATTAAAAAAAAAAAAAAAGAAAGTACTACTGAGGTAGGAGAACTTGATGACTTGGAGAGAGAGGGAAATAATTCCAGGAGCAATGTTCTTGAGAATGTGATTGATGGGCAGCAAGCTAGGGCAGGCATAGCCCTGGTGTATTGGAAAGACTTTATTTACTTCTCTGGAAGTCTACCTAAAAGTGAATTCACTCATGGGGGTCTTTCCACAAGGCAAAAAGATTGAAAAAAAAAATGATGCATAAATTTTTACGTTGAATGTGGCCACTGCAGAGTATTAGGGATTTTTTTTTCCACAATCACATATTCCATTTTCCCATATTTCCATTCCTTTCCATTAATCTCAGGTACTTTTTCCTCATATAGCCAGCTCCAAAGGCATTGGCCATGGCCTTTCATGCCCTATTTTCCCTTATCTGCTTGGAGAGTTCCTATTCACACCACTCAGTCATCCCCTCTTTGCAGTGTTTCTTGATCTTCATGGATAGGGCAGATCACTATGACCCTCAAATCAGGCTGTGTAAACATCTCCTTTAGCAACTTGTCTTTTGGCCAGAAGCCCCAAACTGCCATTCTAGAGGCTCATGGTTTTTGTTTCCCCAGTGCAGTGTTTTTAAGACACTATTTTTGGATCAGATGACAATGTTTTAAAAAATGAAAATTTCACACTTAAAAAAAAATTCAGTAATACACATAGCATTCTTGAAAAATGAAAGATGGGCATCACTGGGCCCAAATTCCCATGTGGGAGCAACTGCTGAGAGCAAGGGAGGTGCTCGCTGTTTTCACCCCAGCTCACCCCCTCATGCTTTACCAGCATAGCCCTTGTGGACAAATGCAGGGCTGTGAATTTATGCACCGTGCTGAGTTGAGACTTAGGCCCCTTGGGCAGGAATCATGACTGGTCTCCCTGCACATCCTAGCATCTGCTCCAGTGCCAAGCGCAGTGCTCAGTGTGTGTACTGAATTGAATTTCCCCAATTCTGTGGTGTCATCTTGCATACCCGGAGGCTCCACTCACACGGTTTCTCTGTTCCTGAAGACACATACTCACCCCCAAAGCTCAGATCCTTACATCTGCCTTCATCCCCTGGGCCTAAGGGGCCCACCCCAGCTAGTTACCTAGTCCCTCACATCTCCATTCAAATGTCACTTTCTCTGGAAACCTTCCCCAGCCCTTCAGGTTAAATCAGATCCCACTGTAATATACTTTCAGAACACTGTAGACTTTTCTTCATTGTCATTGTGGGGTTGTTAATATTTACTTGTGTGGTTGCTTAATGTCTGCTTGCCCTCACTCATCTATGAGCTCCATGAGGGCTGGATCAGCATTGCTGCGCTCGCTTGGCATCTACCGCACCTCCCCTGGTCCTGGGTGCACAGCAAACCACCAAGGTGAATGTGAATGAATGAATGAACGAATGCTGCCAAGAAATAGGCCTTAAGGAAAGCGGAGGCCAGTGTGGAGAGGAGTAGATGTCTGTTTTATTCTGTGCAGCACCGTGACTTAGATGTGTCACTCTAAACTTCCTAAGCTGCTTTGAGTATAGATTTGTCTTGTCTGAGACGGTGAGCATCCTGAGGGCAGGGTCCTCTTATTCATTTTTTAAAATTCTCTGCATCTAATACAGGGACCTGTGTCTGATACAGAATTCAATGGAATGACCAAACTAATCAATGGACTCCCTTTTAAAGAAAATGATGATAGTTTCTCCAGTTATTAACATATTCATTACACTCTTTCATTACCTCAAATTGGGCTGTATTCGAGCCTGGAAAGTGTATCAACAATGCCCACTACAGATGACCACGATGGTGGCTGTGTGATGGCCTGTTAGTTCTGGTCATCAGGTTTCTGTGGTCTCTGGCCTACTCGCTAGGTTTCTGCGGCATCTCACAAGTATTGTTAACTGTACCATGTCCAGTAATTGCAAGGGCACAGCATGCATTGGAGGAACAATTGGAAAGACTTATGATTATGATGGAATTTAAAATCATTTTACAAGAGAAGGTGCCTACTGGGTGTCTGTGGAATGTTAGACTCCAGAAAAAGTTGGTTTTATCCAACAGAGAGAGTGTCTCATCCACAAGGGATCTAAATCTATAGATCATGGAAGGTTATGAGTTCACACATGTCTCCTCATCAATGAGCCAGGGCACATAACTAATTGACCATAAGGCTCACTGGGACTAATTAGCAGCTGCATGTGAAGGGCTTGGTTCAGACTTGTAGCACGGAGGATGGCGTTCTAGAATGCCCAGATCCTGGACTCACAGTTCTGTCAGGGCAGGAGGATCGCACTGCTTCTTGGCTGTTGAAATTGTTGGGGCTCTTGGCTCCTCTGCGGGCCAGTGTACACATGTGCGCCTCCATCTGCTGCCGGCAGAGGGCAGCAGTACGCTGTGCGTGTGCAATTTGCATCCCAGATTGGCAAATCCCCAAGGATTTACAAAGAAAGAGAGTGGGTGTCCCAGGACTACCCAGATTTCTTTTCTCTGGGTGTCAACACTGGTCTGAGTAATTGCAAACACAGACCTTCTACATATGTTGGACTTTGGCTCATCTGAAATACTGAAATGAATACACAACTAGAAGCTGCCATCACAGACAGGAAGTAACTTTAATTAAATATTGTGAAAGTTGAAAAGTTTTTACAGCTTGAATTTTGCAAAAAAAAAAAAATTATAACAATCTCTACAGTAGTTAGGTTCTCTAACAATTGAACTGTACAGTGCGTGTCTATTCAAAAAGTTTGATAAGAAGGTGAAAGGTTAGTAGATTCAGAGATGACTTCATTAAGCTGCATCCTAGTACAATGTGAGGCCAGGGCATGTCAGGCAATCCAGTCATCCAGAAGCTGTATTTTTCCCCCAAAACTGAAATCTTAATTCTCTGTTTCATTTTCTTCTTAAAGCCATATTCTGTATTTAGGGGAACATCTTTTACTTGTAGAAGTTTTGTGTAGAAGAAAGAGGGTCAGAGGGCCAGAACATCTTTTTATCTAATCAATATAAATAGAGGCAACAGAACACAAATTATACACATTTTAAAGGCTCTTTGGACTTTCCAGAAAAGTTCTAACCACTACACATGGCTGACAGACGGGTGGCGTTTTGTTGTCAGGGTCTGAGCCGGACACCTCGCCGGCTGACCATTCCTTCACAAACGGTTAATGGGCTCACCAGACAAAATATGGCTTTAAATTGTATACATCTTCAGGCCAGCGCTTACCACACGAATTCAGACAACCTTTCTGAGTACCGAGAAGCAATGCGTCCACCTTGCTTACATTTTCCAGTTTTCTTTATTATTATTAATCATCATTATTATTATTTCTCACCTTGAAAAATCAGCTTTCCTCCCCTCCCTTCCCTCCCACAACTCCCCTCCCCCACCCGCCCCAACCCATAAAAATCGCACTCCGCCAGTCTAGTGAAAACCATTGCAAAATCCATATGGGGGCATGCACAGTTGCAGCATTGTTGTAAATTTCTTGCTCTACTAGAAAAAGTTACATTGTCTTAAGGTAACAAAACAGTTCTTTTGTGCTTTTCCATTTCTTTGTTTTTTTTTTTCTTTTTTCTTTTTCTTTTTTTCTTAGAATGTTAGTGATGACTGACAATTCTGGTGCACAGTTACAATGTACAAGTGAAATGAATATGATTTGCATTGTTAAGGCATCCAATCTGCTGGTTTATATTTATGTGAAAGACAGAGGAAATATACAAGCAGACTTAAGAAAGAAAGTATGTTCATTGATTTCTATGAAGTTTCTCCCCCAAATTTAATGCACAAAATGCGTCACTCCAAAGGGAGAGATTCCATGCATATTAATAGAGTAAAACAGCATTAGTTTTTTTTTCTGTAAGCTTCCAAAGCAAAGGATACATTTTTTTTAATCTACAGAACTAAATGCTACAAGAATAATATGCTACTATTTTTTTTTTTGCCATATATTGGAAAAAACTTCTTAACTTACAAATAATACAAAAATAGACAATGGCTTTTGGGTGGAAATAAAAAAAATTGAAGCATGGTTTAAAACAAAACTAAAAATAACTATAAATGAAATGTTTAAAAATCACATTGAAACAGCTAATACAACTGTAGGTGACCAAACAAATACGCACTTTTCACATAGCAAACATACACAATAAAATAAACTGGGAGTGGGAGGAAAAGGAAGAAGGGGAAAGCAATGTACAAATTCCAAAGATAAATACATTATTTATATGGATATTTTACAAAATCCCCTTTAAAACAAAAAGCCTTTTAATTAACTTCGCAAGTATGTGCAAGCTAAAGGTAGTGAGCTTTTTTTTTCTTTGCAAAATATGCAGTAAAATCTTTTTGTGATATTGAAAAACTGTCTTAAGACATTAAAATGTATAAATAGAACAACGACTTTGGCAAAAATCACAAAAAATCTACAGTATTTATAACTACATACAAAAACACAACAGCAAAGGAAAAAATATCAGGCAAATGCATCCTCCGAGCTTTGCTGCATCTTTGCTATTTATTCTTACTTTTAAGAACACTTCCCAGATGATGAGAGCAAAAATTCCATAGAACAGAAAACTATGTTTTGGAGCTCTCAACCTTCTTCTCCTTTCTCCCAGTTTTCCTTTTACTCCTAATTCCAAAGCACTTAACCTGTCGCTCTAATCTATTATGTTACAAATGGTAAGGGTCACCAAGAGAGGCGCGTTATCTCCAATGGGAAATCTGAAATACCTGCCATGTTGCTTCCGTCAGCTTGTGGAGGATTGGTAGGAAGTCAGCATTTAGGATGAGTAAACTTTAAACTTGCAAATGGCGGTGTGAAAGTGGGATTTTGGCTTGGTAACTGGAGGGCATAATGTGGAATTCTGTGCCTGGACCCTGTTCCATGAAGTCTCATAGGAGATTCTCACACAGTATGTGCGCCATCAAGCTCTCAAGAGGCCATCGGCTTCAGAAGAAGTTGACACAAGTGAAAGAGAGAATGATATCAGGTTTCAATACGCAGTTTTAACAATCTGTCTAGAGGCACTGGATTTTTGAGTAGAAGGGAAAAATGTGATCACTTACATCACTTTTTAACTTTCCAGGCTGCATTTATTTACACAGTTACTTAAGACAACAATACAAAAGAGAGAAATAAGCTTGCACTGCTAAGGGATGGCGTGTTAAGTTAGATATTGAAAATGCACTGTCTGAGCTAACTACCATTTGATATGCTTTAAGGCGCAAAAGCCGACCCTTAGTTTTCTAAAAAAATCTAACTGGCATTCCTATTCTGTCCCATACAAGCTTTTTTTTTTTTTTCTTTTTTATTCTTTTTAACTTTTTTGTAAATATCACCACTTCATTCTCCCTTTACACAGCTTTAAAAACATCATAAATTAAAACATGGAGTCTTATTTATAGTGTCCCTTGTATACAGCTTTATGGTTTATAAAAGACCAATGATTGCAGAGTTAAGCTTTAAAAAAAAAAGAAAGTAAAAGAAAAAGTGGATTTGCTTTTATCAACACAGAATAAATATATCCCCCAAATACTCGGGAGGTACAACTTTTGACCAACACTCTGCACTTGCAGATCCCTTCCAATTTCAGTATTTGCAAGGTCGGTGATATTGTTTGTTTAAAAATCTGCAGTTATTGTGATTCCTCTTAAAAAGGCCTGAGTTAAAAGTTCCACTTGGGGACTTGTATCAGATTACTCTCTGTAGCAGAATCCAACCTCTTCATTAATAAATTTCTTCAAGGCAATTCTTTCACATAGGAGGGACAATCATGCCAGATATCGCTGTGGAAAGAGAAGATGAAAGTCAATGGTTTTGCATCCAAGCTTCTCACTGAGAAAAAAAAGGGGGGGGGGAACCACCCACACAACACTGTTGGCTGAATAATGTCCTCTCATCTTCCCTGGAATGAGTTTTTGTTATAAAATGTACATGTACTTTATTAAGAACGATAATATATCAGCCTGTGTATGTGTCTTTAATGGGACAGAAGATGCTAAACATCCTCCAAGTCTGATTTCAATTTTAAAAACATAACTGGAAAGTTGGATAGTTTGAATGCCGCTGAGAAAGCTGCAGCCCCCAAATCTTGCAAAATAGTAAGAATTTGCAATTTGTCACTCTTTGTTTCCCCTCCCCTTCACTTCCATCATACAAAATAAAAGAACTGGTTCATCCCAAATGCCAGCTAGTTCTACGAAAAAACAAAAACAAAAACAAAAAACATGGCTCTGTGCTCTGTATTTGCATGAAGAAGGAATCCTGCCGTCCTTTCAGTCCTCCTGCCCGGGAGAAGGGAGCACCGGCCACTGCAGGCCTTGTTCCTGGGGCAAAGAAGCAGGGATAATGTATGAAGGGGGAGGGGAAGACAGGTTTGCAAGAAACTGCAGGATGTCTCCTATACTACTGCTTCACTCAAGGTTCTGGAATGGTCTGACCACGTTCCTAGAAAATTACAGCCTAGGAAAGCTGGGGTAAGATCCTGGGGTAATCAGAAAAATCTTTCAAAGGGTTCTGAGTTAGGAGGCCGCACACAGTGGTATTTAGAAAAGCAGCGACTCCAATAGGCCATCCTTCCACCTCTGACTTTCCTGCTTTCTGAATATGCTGTGCTCATTACACCCACGCCCCCCACCCCAAGGTAGTTAACTTGTTTCCTTGAACCTCCACTTCCTCAGCTAGAAAATGCAGTTAAGGATATTTGGAAGGCCAGTGGTATTTTTAAGGTTGTTGGAGAATTAAATAAAATAACATATGTGAGGTGCAGCTCCGAGTAAAGACCTCACAGAGGTTAGCTGCTATTACTTTTAATCCATCCCTTCTGCTGCTAGACTAGCTGTGTGACCTTGTGCTGATGGTTTAACCTCTCTGGGCTGTGCTTCCTCTTCAATCAATAGGCACCACCCATTGAATGATGAGCATGAGAAATGAAGGGACGACTGTAAGTAAGTTAAAATAGTATGGCAACTTTGAAATATGTTGAGGGAAAAGCAATGCGTACATTAGAAGCAAGAAGTGGCCATCTTTGCTTCCGAAGAGGAGAGACAAAGTCATTGCTTTCTTTTTATTGGCAATTCTAAATTTAAATTGATGTTCTTGTCAGTGATGACTGAGTCTAGAAAGTGGCCCTCTTCGTGTCCTAACTCTCACGTCCAGAAGAATGTGCGTGTTTTTTAAGCAAACCTCAAGTACCACAGATGCTGCTGCAGACACAGGGAGGCTAGTTAAGGCTCAGAGCCCTGCCAGCCCCCCCAACCCTCCTGCTTCCCCTCCCCCACCCCCGCATTTTAAATTCAATTAAAAAATGTATTTTGCCAAACACTTTTTCCGTTAATTTTTAAACCCATCTGTATTCACAGGGAAATTTAATCCACATGTTTCTGATTCATGTACACGTAAATCATCCAAATGTTGTTTTGCAAGAGCCCTTTTGCAGTCCAAAAGCTCCTGGAGTCTTTTTCGTAAGCCCTCATAAGCCATTTTTCTTAGAAACAGGAAGTGTCTCTTGCCAAACGCAGACCAACTTAAACCCCCAAAGATTCGGGATCAGTTGGAAAAGCAGTCCCCCTTAAGATTCAAGTGAGCCCTAGATCTGACGGAAATGGGGAGCTCAGATTTTCAACCCAAGTCTTAACAGGAGAATTCAAGATGCTGTAGCTGCAAAGGCAAGGGGGCAGGGGGTCTTTGCACTGTGACAGCTCAGCATGGCTCTGCCTCCCTAAGGATCTTTCATCTAGGCTGGAGGTGGGTCCCCGGCACCCTTATTAAAGACAGGCCTTTCTGTGGGAGTTCTAAACCTTTGGCAAGAGAAGCAAGCCCTAGCTCTGCCCTTCACCAAAATCTACTTTGTACGCCTGGCATTAAAGGGCAGTCCCCTCTTGGACTACTGGGGCAGCTCAGGCAGTGTCAATATGAGGCAAAGCAGAGAACTGACAAACTTCCTGCTAATTTGGTCAGTGGAACAAGCCAACATTTATTAATTGGACCCTAAAAATATTGGGTTTTTTTAAAAATTCTGGATGGCCAGGAAAAAAAATCTAGCAGTGTTTTGTACCTGAATAATGTGCTAGATTAATTAGATTAAACCTCCACTAGGTCCCCATTAAAAATTGTAAAGCAAAATTAAGTGATGGGCTAGTTCATAGCTAGCAGTGCTTCTCAATCTGGAATATAGGGGTTGCAAACTCTAATGCCCTGAGAGCCCAGACGAAGAACATAAGTGAGCATAGTGCCCTGATAGGGATTGAGGTGACTCTGCCAAGGGCATGCTTTCTTTAGAAAAGGAAAAAAAAAAAAAGCTGCTGCATAGAAATGCCTGCTCACAACCACCAGATCTGAATTCTTTCAAGAGATGATGGAGACGTGCATTTTTAAAAATACAACAGAGCCCGGTTTATACATCTTAGCAAATAATTGAAATTAAAAACATGCAAACAGACACATCTGAGGGTACCTAGGGGGTGGCTTTGATCTACCCATACTTTCCTACCTTCCCTTTGTTGGTCCTCAGACTTCTCTTAGAGTCTAATGGAAACCACGGAATCTCTCTCCAGAAGAAGGCCCATTCGCACCTACACCCAGAACTCTGCATAAAACACCGGGGTCACAGTTCCTTAAGTCTCATCTGTGACTTCCTAAACTCCAGTCACAGAATACTTCCTGTTAAATAAATTTTAGGAAAAGACCTCAGTTTTCAGCCTGTGAGTTGCTACACCTCTAAAGAGGCCTTTTTATAATGTAATCTCCACTGCATGACTGCGGGAAAGCTCCTGGGTTTTTAGGAGCTGTTTTTCTTGTATCTGTGCTGCAATCCTCAAGATTACTTATGTGGGTGAGAGAGATGGTGTTTGAGGCTTGGAATGTTCCAGAAATGCCGCTAGCACACTGATTTGCCCAAGTAGGGGCCATGAAGATTTCCATGAGGACACAACACTCTCAGAGAGCAAGATACGCCAAACATCACAAGACATCGTAAGACCGAGGTGGCTCTGCCATCTTCCCCAGCAGCTGGGTGATCATGATCTCTGACAGAAGGTCAGAAACTATTGGCTTGAAAGGCCATGCAAAAAAAAAAAAAAAAGAAAAAGAAAAAGAAAGGCCATGCATTTTGCATTATGGTTTTCACATTTTGATAAGAGCAAAGACAAAATGAAAAGTTTGGCCGAGCTGGGAGAGTTTGGAGTGAGAGGGTGAAATATGGTCTTCCTCGAACCACCGTATGTGTGTAAGAATTATGAGCTAATCAGGGACAGAATGGGGGGAAGATCTTGCACAAACTGAGCATGTGCACAGAGCAAAAGACAATTCCACAAGATCACCCCTGGACTGCGTGACATCTAGAGTCGGGTGGGGCCAGCCAGCCTGAGCTTCAACAAGGTGAGGTGAGAAAAAAAATCAGTGTGTGAGTACAATTTCTGTGAAATCACACTGGTCTTTTGTTTTTAACTTTTCGTTGCAGGGACTGTCCAGGACATGGTTAGGGTTTAAAATCACTACACTGTGGGGAGGTCCAATGGCATACTGACAGCCTCCTTGGGGCTGCCTCCCTCTTGATTAATGAAGTCCTCTGAGGCCTGAAATTGCATAGAATCCATGCTGTAGGGGGTATAAGCTTTCGGAGAAGAGAGAGGACGTCTCCAAAACAGTGGCTGAGCATAGTGGGTCACTCAAGTCTTTGACCTATGAAAATAGAACACACCTGGGGAATCAGGATCAGTATTTATCAATGACTTTACCTAGATAGGAATGGAAGAAGATGTCTCTGCATTATCTCTTTAAATCCAAAATATGGCCACATTTTCCAAAGTTTTTCATGGGCTGTTAATTACTCTTAACATTCACAAAACACAAAAGAGTTCTTTGGGCAAATAAATTTAGAGAACTAAATGGAACGGTCTTTTTTTTTTTTTTTTTTTGCTTAACTGTAGGATGTCTCAGAGCTTTTAATAAACTTAGGTGCATTGTGGCTCTCCAAGACTGGGATTCAGTAAGTGCCACTTTCTAGATTTGCTTGACCACAAAATTAAATTTTTTTTAAAAAAAGCATATCTAAAAAAAAAAAAAAAAAGCATATCTAGTGAGACTCCAAAAGTGCTGAGATAAGAGTTGCTTTATCCCCCCAAAATTTCTCAGACATACAGTAATTTGTCCAAGGTTTTTTCTACCTGGGAGAGAAAAGCCAGTCAGGACCACAGTAGAACTTGTGAATTATAAAATATATGTACAGAATGGAATTTATGGCTTCCAAGTAAGGACTCCCTTGTTCAACCTTATCCCCACTTCGGTATCCCAGGATGCCAAGTGACTTGCTGGTTACTGCACATTACTCCTGGGCTCCAGGTATCTTTAATCCTCTGCTTCGAAAGCCCCTCCCCATCTCCCTCTGCCTGAATCCTTCTTGCCCTTTATCCAAGGTCCAGTTCATTGGCAGCATTCACCACGAGGCTATTCTAACTTCTCCCTAATCTTTCCTCCTCTGAACTTCCACAGGCAGGCACCCAGCCTCTCCCACTGTTGCGTTTCCTTTAATACAGGAAAAGATTTTAAGGCCAGGATTTTGTAGTACACATGGCCTACCCCAGTGGCTTGATGACAGTATGGCCATATAGCAGTGGGGCTTAACATAGTAATCAGTCCACTTGGGTTTTAACCCAGGATCTCTCAATTTGCTAGCTGTGGAACTCTGAATGAGCCTTCTTGGCTCTAAGGCTTGATTTCTCCATCTATAGAATGGTGACAACAAATAGCCTACAGGTTGGGAATGAGATAATGCAGAAGTCAAGCTGGGAACAAGCCCTCCTGTGTTAGTAGCTGTGACCATCATCATCACCATCATGTGAGATTGCAATGCATGTTCATTGAGGAATAAACATCTATGAAGTGACTAGAGGAGGCCAAGACAGGGCTTCTGGGAAAAAGGCCTTTAAGGAGTTGGCTAAAAAAAAAAAAAAAAACAGAATGATGTAAAATTAGTAGAGTGGCAGTTGGAGGCACACAGGTATTTAAAACCCTTGGGATCCCTGTGTGGCTCAGCGGTTTAGTACCTGCCTTCACCCCAAGGCATGATCCTGGAGTCCCATGATCGAGGCCCACATCAGGCTCCCTGCATGGAGCCTGCTTCTCCCTCTGCCTGTGTCTCTGCCTCTCTCTCTCTCTCTCTCTCTCTCTCTCTCTCTCTCTCTCTGTGCCTCTCATGAATAAATAAAATCTTTAAAAAAAAAAAAAAACTCAAACAGCCTAAACGTGTCACCTCTGAGCTTGTTCATACAGTCCATTTGCTTAACAATGTCTTCCTTTGTCACTTGCCCTGTCTTAATGACCACAGTTATGAACTAGGTGGATCCAAATGGAATTACTGTGACAATGAAAGACGGAAGGAAGAAGGAAGAAGAGCCCCTCCCCTCCGCACCCCCCCCCCCGCCCCCGCCTCCTATAGGCCACCTATGTCCTGAATGATGAGGTCATTCTTTAGTTACAGGTCTAGGAGCTCCAATGTCCCTTTCTTCAGGGGAGAATCCAAGGCCAGGCAGGAGCTCCCTGGAAGCAATGATGGAATGCACCATAGGCTGCAGGGATGTGGATAGAGGGCCAAGGTGCAATTCCAGGTATGTGGGCCCTGCCTGCTGAGGGTGGTGGCTGGGCATGCAGTGGGCAGGAAGACGGATGAGACAGTTTACAGGAAAATGGTGTCAGTTATTTCAACTTTAATTTCTCTACTCATACCTCTCTCACCCCCCGCCCGGCCACCTCTCAAAGGTAGAGATGTTTGGTACATGAACATATTGGAGGGAAAAAAAAAAGCAGCAGAAAGAATCTCCTGGACACATGCTCCATCAGAAGGAAAGGGCAACGTCATCCACAATAGCAGATTGAGCACAAAGTGCGTTCCTAAATTTTTCACCTTGAACCCTTCCCACTGTGCAGCTGCACGTGAGAAATGTGATGGAGAGGTGGCGATTCGGTTTCTGGTCAGAACAGAGGGGAACAGTCTCTGTACTTTCAGAACCTGTGCAGACTTGGGTTAGAAATGCCCCGGGTGAGGGGGATCCCTGGGTGGCTCAGTGGTTTAGCGCCTGCCGTTGGCCCAGGGCACGATCCTGGAGTCCTGGGATCAAGTCCCACATCGGGCTCCCTGCATGGAGCCTGCTTCTCCCTCTGCCTCTCTCTCTCTGTGTCTATCATGAATAAATAACTAAATAAATAAAATCTAGTTCATTTACAAAAAAAAAAAGAAATGCCCCGGGTGACAAATGAACAAATTTTGTATGAGTCCCTGTTTTGAAGCCATTTTATTATTACTTAAGAGCACCTGCTGGCGTGTGTGTGCACAGACACACACACACACACCACCACCACACCACCACCACCACCACCACCACCACCACCACTAGATATTCCCTAAATCTAGGACATTCTACAGCCTGGGCTAAGTCCCTATTTTCAGCCCTTCCTGCCCCCCCCCCTCCCCCCAGGGGTCCAAATGCAGGCAAAGACACTGGGCCTTGCAAAAGGACTGACTGCTGAAGTCACTGTGGGCCTTTTCTTCTCAAGCACCGCCTCCCCACTCTTGATTACAAACCCTATTCTACCTTATTTTGATAGCAAATCTATGTTTTAATAAGGGTTGTGATAGGCAGCTCAAGTACGGCAGATTTCTGCTTCCCTGTGTGTTATCTTTATTTAAACTCATTGTAAGTTATCCTCAGTTTGCCAGTCAGAGGTGTACTGAGGGTGACAAAGCACCATCAGCTGAAAAAGAGTCAGATTTGTATGACTGGGTGGCTCCCTTCATGGAGGCAGGCGGGACCCGTTGTGAGTAATATTGCTTGCAATGCAACTCAGATTATTCTCCTCTGCCCTCTCAGATGGCTTTGCCAACGCTCTTCAAGGGAGGGACATAGGCAGGTCATACTAGCCATGACTGGCCGTGCTGGGTAGATTTGCCAGCAGGTTTCTGCAGAATGTTTAGCAGAGCCTGTCTGGAGTCAGAAAGTCAGAGCAATCAGGAGCTCAGGTCCTGGAATCACACAGTTTGGGTTCACTTTTGGCTCTGTCAGTAGCAGCTGTGTGACCTTGAGCAAACTGGGCCTGAATTTTCCCATCTATAGAGAGGGAAGAGCACTGGTTTCATAGGGTCTTTGGAAGAATCAATATAAGGTTATATCAACATAAGGTGTCTGGTGCAGAGTACATGTGTACTCTGCATAAATAACATAATATACATACATGTACATACAATACAAAATATACATATAAGAGGCAGGGCCGAGAAATCCCAGATGGATCTGCCACTCTCCCGCCCTCCTTCTCTACCAGAGAAGACGGCATGACGACCTTTGAGGGAAGGCACTGTGGGGAACCATGCAGGCTGAGGGGTGAGGGGCGCAGACCCTGCTGGGGTTGACATTCATCTCCACCATTTATGGGCTATGCCTACAGGCAGGTATTTCTTCTCCTTAAGCTTCAGTTTCATCATCTGTACAATGGAGATCATAATATCCTCATATTTCACTAGGAAGCTATGAGGATTAAATAAGATAAAGCATGCTCAGTGCTGAGCACAGTGCCTGACACATGGTTCAGTGTTAAATAAATGGTAGCTGATTATTTTATTGATCTTCTTTCCCTGCCAGCTGGCTTAGGAATCCTGGATGCATCCCTTTTACCCCCTCTCAGTTAGACAGTGCTTGGGAGACGGAAAGAGGAGATGAATTTTTGAGCTCAGGAGTCTGAAGCCAGGTTTGGCCACACGCTACTGCAGGAAGTCAAGCCCTATCATAACCTCCCTGACCTGGGTGTTCTAATCTGGAAAGTAGGGCTTCAAATGCCCAACACACAGTACTGCTATGGGGGATGAATGAGCTTGTGCAGGTCAACAGTGCCAGCACATGAGAAGAATGTAAGACACAGTGGACCCATTTTAATAGGGTGGGGTTATTTGTCTTCAATGAATAGAGAGGTCACCTCAATTCTTGGTGACTCTTATTTTCCATACTCCAGGATGGAGACAAAAATGGAACAATTTTAATATGAACCAGAATGCTCTAGTCTCAACTTGGGGTTTCTGGTTCCCAGAAGTCAGTCTTGGGACTTTGGTCTCCAGTGTTAACCTCAGGGCTTCCCAGTCAGGCCATGGCTCACCCACTCCACATCATCAGCCCCACACACGTTCACTCCAACACAGGCAACAGGAAGGGAAGGTTGAGTGACCTACTTCAGGAGAAGGCCAGTCCCGGGAGAGACCCTGCTGTGGAGAACTTGCTAGAGTCCACAAAAGACTGGTCTGATTATGGCGACCACAGGGAATGAAAGAGGAGAAAAGAGAAATGATGATATTAGTAAGTGGAAATAGTATTCTCAAGCAAATCCCAGGCCTGAGCAGAATTGTTGGCATTGGAAAGAGGACAGCTCAGGCAACTCCAGCTGAGAAGGGATGTGCGGGGCCAGGGGCCCGGGGGCCAGGGCCAAGGAGAGTGAACACAAAGGAACAAACAGAAGGAGGGCAGAGAGAAGCAGGCCAGCCCAAGGTGGATCCCTCGCACCAGTGATGCATCTGCCTCAGGCCCTGGGAGGGTGAAGTCCGGGCATCCTGGGGGGCCTGGGTGGGGCTTACCTTGCAGGCTGTTCCCATTGGTGCTGGTGCAGGTGGGAGGCGGGGAGGTCTGGGGTCTGACAACTGGCGCAAAAGCACTCTTCTGTTTCACGGCTGAGACCATGTTGGCTGGTGAGAAGGAGAAGATGCCCGAGGAGCTGCTGCAGTTGGAGGGGAGGCTTGTGGAGGAGGCCATGGTGGGACTGGATGGCACGACTGAATGGGGCAACAGGAGAGGAGAAGTCAGCACCTCTCCTGGCATCCTGAGATGAGGTGGCTCAGCCCTGTCCTTCACCCAGCCACCCGGCTCAGGCCACCCTTCCAGCATGAGCCTTCTCTGAACTCGGGATCTTATCTGCTTTCATCACTTGGTACTTGGCACATGCCACCTCTTGTTGGTGGTGATCTTTTATGTGATTATTGTGGGCCTACTGTGTGCCAGGCAGTGTGCTAGGCACTGGGGCATCCCAGGCCACATAACAAAAGTGCTCTCAAAGGGATAGAGTAGCATGAAACAACAACAAAGGTAAGCATGGCAAACTCTGCAGAGGCAGAGAAAAGAACCAAAGAAGGCTTCGTGGGGGAGGTGTCAAGGGAAGCATTCTGGGTGGGACCTAAACTAAGACTCTAGCAAAGGGGCTGGGAATATCAGAGGCAGGAGGAGGCCAGCCTGAGACAGTGTGGTCACAGATGGAATGAGAGGTGTGAGGAAGAAGGGTAGGTTGAAGTCAATGCCAGGATTCCAAATTAAAGCACTGGCAGATGGTGGTGTGTATGTGTTCCTGTTCTCCCCATGAAGCTACGAGTTTCTTAAGGATACAACTGTACCTGAATGTCTCACGCACACAGATATAGGTAGGTAGGAGGCCAGGTGGGTAAATAGACTGCCACAGGCAATATTTGTGGATAATGCAGAATGAAGAGTCAAAGTTCCAAATTCTTTCTATCCCCTGTAGAGCTGTACACGAATACTTGTGAATTAATAAGCAGTAGGATAGGAGCTTTTTAGTAAATACTCACAGTCTAGTAGTAGTGGGGATGTGGATTACCAATGATGGGAGAATTTTGGCAATTCATGGAGGGAGGAAAACCTAGTTGCTTGGAGATATGAGTTTGGTGGAGGCACATTCTCTACCAACCACAGTCCCTTCAGCCTGGCCATTCATATTTCGTTAGTTGCTAATAATGTCATGGTTACTTCAGGAGACAGAGACTTTGTGCACAGTGAGTCCTCTCCTCTTGCGAGCGGTATTTTCATACACTCACCTTCTATTTCCTCCATCTCTGGGAAAAATGTGAATCCTGCCCAGTGACTTTCAGGCATTTAATTCAAATCCTAAGACTTCCTTCTACTGTATTATTTTTCCCATTATGTAATAAACATTTCATATGGCTTTATCATTCACAAGAATCTTCATGCCTTTTTCATCTTATGTCACTGTCAAAGCAACCCCAAGTTGAGGCCTATTACATCCTTTTTACACCTGAGCAAGCTGAACAAGCTGAGACTCAGAAAATAGTTTAGTGACATGCCCAAGGGCCAGAGGCAGAATGTGATGAAGCCAGGAACCAGACTCAAATCCAGTGTCCTTTCCACTACACTACCCTACAAAGGAAACAATCACTGGGGGAAAGGACCCCCTTCCCATGAGCCCACCAGAGTCTAAATTGCTATGTAGGGGGCTGGCCTTCCCTTGGCCTACTGGCTGCAGAAAGAGGGAAGTGGGAATCAAATCCATCTGGGCAGCAACTGCCATCAGAGGGAAATGACCCCTTGGAATCAGCCCTCAGCACTACACAATCCAAAGGCACCAAACGCTTGACAGAGCAGAACACTGGGCCGCCATCCTTGGAGTTTTCACCAACATGTTCTAAACTGTACTTTTTCTTTTAATGAGGCCAGCATTTTTATACATCTCTTAGGATTTGTAAATGTGAAAATACGCTCAATAATAACACCCATTTAAATTGCAAAACTCCTGCACTGGAGGTTTGATTTTTAAATATTCGTAGACTTGAAATCCTGCTGGTTCACTGAGGAAGGCAATTAATCTCGTTGGCAAATGCGATCATTATGTGTATTTAGAGGTGGGGAGTTTGAGGGGGGTGGTTCACAGAGGAAAGGCTGAAATATAGTCAAGCAGCTCCATTTGTTATAACATTATTAGTTATCAGCCACCACACCACAAAGTGTGTTCACCAGTGCAATGTCTTATTTTATTTTTTATTCTGTTCGGAATTTTTCAACATGAGTGGTTTATGAATAATTAAATATTATGGAGGCAAAAATTCAAATCAGCTGGGCTTTGTGTTTATTGTTTTATTTGCATTTATGCAGATAAAACCGTCCCATCTGAGAGCCTATTTGAGAATTTAATACTATATTTGTGAGCACTGAGGAAATCAATTAATGGAAATTAAATGTTGGAAGTTTCACAGTCTGACAGATGCAATCTCAGGCTGAAGTTGGTGGGTGTCTGCAAGGGCTTGGGAAGACAGCAATCCAAGCCCCTAAATTAAATTGCTACCATATAGCAATTAGTTTATTGATTTAATTAAGAATGCCACCTTTTAATTTTCAGGTCATGATTGAAACATTTTCTGATTGAGTAGATGGGAGAACACTGAAATGATAGATCTATGAGAAACGATCTTTCAATGAATCAAATTCCTGAAACTGGTCTCATTGACTGGAACAGGCAGACCTAATGTATGCAGATTATTTGGGGGAATTCTAAAGGTACAAAAAGCTGCTATTCCAAACAGATAAAGTGGAAATATGAAAGTTAGCACCCACTGAGCATAAAAATTCACCAAGAAAGTAAAAGGCCTTAAGTATTACTTTCAGAAATAACCTTTCTCAAAGGCCAACAATGATCTTTCCTCTTTCAAAGATTAGAACATTCCATATTTCCACCATTAGAGACAGCATAGTTTTTAGGGTTTCTTAGCCACGACTCTTTAAAAAAAAAGATTGTGAGTGTTCTTTCATTTAACAACACATCTTCTATCATTCCACAAATGTCTAAGAGTTTGGCCTCATTTTACAAAACAGAAGAGTTACCCACACTGTCCAAGATAAACTTGGTTATCTGTGTAAAAATCCCCAGAGGGAGATGGAGAGATTGTAGAGACGCAGCCCAGGACATTTATATATAAAGATGCCAGTTCCCTGAGGTTCTTTAGGTGCAACCTGAATGTTGTACCAAAAAGTTCCTTAAACTAAACTTCTTTAAGGCAAGGACAATGCACCAAAAAGAATATTTTTTTCTTAAATATGTGTTTTTTTCATCTTGCCAGATTTTTGGAAAAAATAAAAAATTTTTTTTGTTGTTTTTTGATGTTGCTGTTGTTTGGTTTTTAGTACATATCAAATACAAAGGGGAAAGAACTTCAAGCGTTTAAAAAAAAAAAGAAAAGAAAAAAGGAATCCTATTCCTAAAGGGAGACATGTTAAGTTTTAGCCTGTTCTGCCGATGCTACACGAGCAGCACCACTTAGGATCACTGTCATCACGGTGATTGAGATTACTGACTGTGCGTCTTGTGGGCCAGACATTAAGGCAAGCTCATTCCATACATTATTTTATCAAAGTCTCACAACAACTGGTTGGGGTGGGTGTTAGTTCTCCTCCCCATTTTACAGATGAGCAAACTGAGGCTTGGAGGGAGAGAACTTGCACCAGGCCAAGTTCCAGTCAGGAACCGGTAGGGAGCAGGAGTCAAAGCCATCTCCACTCTGACTCGAAGCTTGGGTTCCGGCGATGACATCCTACTGCTCCTTAGACTTTTAGCAAAGTTCTGAAGACCAGGGAGACCTTAGGATGGGGAAGGTGATCAAGGGAGGGCACAGATTTCTGCAGAAGACAAATGTCACCTTCAGTCGCATCCCCTGGTGGGATGCAGGTGAGGAAACCTGCACAGTGGGGCCACACGCCGGCCACAGGGCCAGCTCTTGGGGCAAAAGCATGCAGAAAGGAAGGACCCACATCTCTACTTACTGGCATAGGGCGAGTTGGCAGCTGAGCCATTGAGGAAAGTTGGGGAGCCGCCCAAATTGGACATGGCAGCCGTGCCGTATCCGTTCATGCTCGTGCTCACGGAGTTATAGTTGGTCTGCTGCGGGGTGGTGCTCGGCACGTACCCGTGCGGTGACACGCTGCTGGAGTTGCGGGTGAAACCTGAGCGATGGGGGCAAAACCAGGCATGAGGGCGGCAATCCAGGAAGGCTGAGGGAGAGCAAGGTCTCTGTTTCTTGTCCCGCCGCGGCAGCCCAGAGGGAAGGGGTTGGGTGATTCATGTGCGTGGGTTGGTGGCGCTAGCTCTGTGATTAAAATGGGAAGCGAGCAAAACACACATTTCTTAGGAGATCATAAATACTTAGCAGGGCCGTGAGAAGTGGCAATGCAGGACCTATAAATTATCATTTTGGAGCAGAAATAAATCCCAATCTAAGAGATGTACCCTGGAGTTAACAGGTTCCTATTCCCTGGGCGAGGATGATGTGCTTTGGCCCCTCAGAACTTTAATTCCAACCCTCTTTGCGATCTGTCATTCGTGCTTTATGGGGAAAAGTCAAATGGAGAGATGGCTAAGTGCACGCATCCCTTCTAGCCTCTGAGATCACACGGCAGGGCGTGATAGCTCTAAACCAAATTCCACAGCAATATGTGATACACGCAAACTAGGAAATCTCCCCATTTGGAAAGAAAAAAAAAACCCTGTTTTTCAATAAAAACTGTTTTGTGCCAAATATATGGTGATGGGGGGGTGGGCGGTATGGGGCTGTGTGGAGAAGCCTGAGGTTGGGAAGAGGCAGGGAAATGGGGAGGGAGGAAACAGGCTCCTGACCCTGATTGGTGGCCTGCGATGCTTCGGAGACATTGACAGCCAGTTGTCCACTGAAGGAATTCACGCCCATCATCCCTGCGTGGACCGAGGTGTTAGTGAGGGCCGGGAGCTGGCTGTGGTTGCGCGGGACACTGTACAGGGCCTCTGCGATGTCAGCTGCTCTCTTCAGAATAATTTCCTGCAAAGTAAAAGGAATACCCCTTTTAGCCACCCCTAGCCATACGCCCAGGAAAACCATCTTTTCCAGTGTTTATTATCTGCCAGGCACGGTGCTCAGGGCTTTCAGTGGTTTAACTGCGTTGCTTCTGCAACCTCTCAGCAAACCTGGGACAAGTCTTATCACCATTGGGCACATATCGCAAATGGGGGAACTGAGGCTCAGAGAGACACGAGAGCTCACTTAAAGACAGTCACCTAATTAAGTACAGAGCTGGGCCACAGAACCTTGTTTGTCTGGCTTTGAAGGGTCATTGTCTTAGCCATCCCTCACTGCATATGACAGCAGCCTGGGGTCTCCCTTTGCTGCCAGTAACACACAGGAGCACTGGTGTTCTACACACACACACACACACACACACACACACGCACAGAGGCTGCAGCTCAGCTCCCCTGCTAAAGTTAAAAGCAGGTTGTAGATGACTACCTGCATCCCTGATTATTAGTGGAATTGTGTCCCTTGGACACTGATTCAAGTGACACAAAAAAAGGAGTGAATGGTCGCTCAGACTCATAGTTTCCAGAGCAATCTGAATCATATACATGGAGTTGCTCTGTGAATAGGAGCAGACAATTCTATTCAGGCCTTATTATGCGTTTTAGGAGAAGAAATCCAACCGCCCTTTTCGTCCTAAATTTGCTTGAAAACCTGAGAGGAATGAAGTAAAACATCAGTAACTCTCTTCCTCAATTAGGAAGTCCATTCCCACGGAAGATTCATTTTAAGTAGAGTACCTTTTCTCATAAGGAAAATGATTTCATACCAAAGATAATAAAAGATTTACAAAATAAGAGAGAAGAACTGAAGAGCCTGACATGGCCGGATGACACTGAACTCATGCAAGTGGCTTTCATATTTTTCATCCTTCTTCAGCACAATAAGGAATCCGAGATCGTCAATGGAATGTGGAAGCCCACACCGGTTCGAGAGCCAGTAATGCTCACCTGGTTGTTGTGTGGCATCCCATACAGCGCCTCCACCAGGTCTGCGGCCCTTTTGAGGATTACTTCCTGTCAAGAGAAAAGCAGACACAATCCTCGAGTGAAGGCCAGTTGTTATCTTTTCACAAGATCACGTTCCTGTTCCCCCTGGCCATGCTTTGCTAACGCACTGCTTTAGAGGCAGTAGCTTGGGGAACCCCAGAATGGTGTTAAATCGCCAATTTATCCCTGTTCACATACACACTTAATTGAGTCAAAAGGTGAGCATCATTGGCACTGCAAGATAAAATACATCACTCAATAGTCTGCCATAGGCACGATAAAGCACTCATATGTTTATTGCTGAATACAATTGCGAGGTCATTTACTAGATTACTACAATCGATGTCATTCAGTGCATGTTATGAATCCTTAAGATGTGTTTATTTAGTACTTAATTGCTTATTCCAGGAACCATGACCTTATCAGACAGGTCATTTTCGAGGGATTTCCAATCAATCTTTGGCTACTAGAAGCATGTAGCATTAAACTTCTTTTGTTTATCTCCCTTGTGTGGCAGAGCCATGATACAAGGGAGTGATGGAGTAAATCCACATTTCTGAGGCAATGTGCTGTTTGTCAGAGGCTCTTACAAAAGGATTCTCCTGCCCCCGGAAGCACCAATTTTCATGACTGGCAGAGTCTGTTTCTTTTATAGCAATTCTTTGCTATTTCAGTATTGTTTGTCATTTTTCACATTTGTTCATTCATTCTCATCCTAGATATATGCCCTGCTTTTCATTCCAGTTGAAGAAAAAAAAATGTCTCCCTCTTTTCATTTAGGTAGGCTTCCATTTTTAGCTTGCATGCTTATTTCTAATAAATAGTGCACTCTCCAAAAGTGTGTGTGGTGGTAATTTTTTCCTTCAACTAAAAGAAGTCGTTCTCTCTTCATTCTGCCCTAATTGTCTGCCCTAACTGGAAGAGGAAGAGGAAAGTTAAGCGTGTAAAATGGAGGCTTATCAGAGAATCAAACATAAAGGTATGGCATGATTATCAGAGGTGATTTGTAAAAAGATACCTTTATATATATGTATTTTTTTTTTTTTTGCTGTGGGTAAAGTTTCGAAAAGAAGTTTAACTTTAAATATTTTACACAATAGATTTCTGCATGGAGAAGCAGTGCTATTCGATTTTCGTATACTGTAGACGCTGATCAGAAAATAGGGATGTAATTACATTCATTTTGCTGTCACCATAGCCTCTTCAAAAATCCTTGAACAACTCTTGAAATGACAAGCTTTTAGATACATATTAGCATTTTTCAATTTTAAATTTTCTATAATATGAGATAAAATAGTTGTCATACTGCAATAACTACTTATGACATATATAATGTCCTAAATTCAAAAATGAGAGAGAGGGGTTTTCAGTTCTCAATAAACATTTATGCTTGCCTTAAGTTGCTAAACCCCATTTATAAAACAGTTCAGTTATTTTTCATATAAGGAGTGAAAAGCATTATATAATCAATGGAGTTTGAATCAATACATCTGAAATAATTTCTTTATTTTTTAAATGCAAGCTACAAGATAATTTACCACTTTTTGTTTGCAGTATTGTCTGACCACAGCAGTTAATAATTTACTATGGTATGGCCACACTAAACCCTATCCCCATATCAAATTCGGCCTGTTCTGCTTTCACTAAAACCTCATGGCTTTATCTGGCTCTTAGGAAAGATTAAAACGAAATAGGATCAAGTTAGTTTATTTACTAAGATTTGACTTCTCTGGGTCTACATTCATTTATATCTCCAAATAAATATTTATCCCAGTGTTTGGGTTTGGCAGAGAAGGTATTTTTCTTTCCTTTCATTTTAGGAAGAAAACAAGCCTCCTGTTTGTCAAAGGCAAGATGAGGTGCAGTTGGAAGCTGCACTTGTGAGTTTCAGTCTTGGAACACCATCTTTGAGGACTCTGAGCAGTGCTTATTTTATTCTTTTTCTTTTTTTTAATTTTTATTTATTTATGATAGTCAGAGAGAGAGAGAGAGAGAGAGAGAGACAGGCAGAGACACAGGCAGAGGGAGAAGCAGGCTCCATGCACCAGAAGCCCGATGTGGGATTCGATCCCGGGTCTCCAGGATCGCGCCCTGGGCCAAAGGCAGGCGCCAAACCGCTGCGCCACCCAGGGATCCCCAGTGCTTATTTTAATTAATTTCACAGAACCAGGGAGGAGGGAAGTTCAAAATAAGCTCCAAGATCTTTGAAGTTTTCACAAATCTGAAAAAAATCCAACTACCACTGTATGCTATACATTTTATTCTCATATATTTTTGACGATAAAGTTTTCCAATGACACAATCCAATTGTTTCTTTTTCTGCTTGTTCAATACTCAGAGCTCTAACCACCATTAATCCTTTGAAAATGAAACATGTGAATCTTGCTTCATAAAGTTACATCCTTCTTCCATCCAAGGAGCTGGGTCATGCTTTCCCACTAGGCACATCGCCATAGGTGGGTCTATAGCCCCGCATCACTTCAGACCAGCAGTCTTGTGGTGAGTGAACCTGGATTTCTTGTCCTGAGAGTGAGTTCCTTAAATGATATCTTGCCCACTTAAAAATGTCCTTTACTGCAGTATCGACTTTGGGGTTTAAGGGACAGCCCACATTTGATTCAGCTTTGCCAGTGTGATTCAGCTTCTATTAGTTATTTCTGCAAATGGGAAGGGAAAAGGAAATTTCTGGGTCCTCTATGAGTTAGTGCAACGGACCTGGAAGGTGCTTGGATTTTGGTGACCAGAAAATTGCTCTCACCTCCATGTCATTACGCTCCCAGTGAACTAGCCCCCAAGCGTGTTTGTGTTGGGGATCTAATATATTGCCTTTCAATCAGAGCTGAGAGCCACTGAACACACAGACAGAACATGACGAGCAGGTCAGGAAAGCAATAAAGATTTTACAGAGCTGTCCAAGGTGCTAAATTTACTCAATAATGGGTTTGGCACCATAGTGTTAACCTCTCATTTACTACCAGTTTGAGGGACTAAATTGAAGTAGCTGACTTCATTTACCTTGAAATGTATATTTTATGACATTATGTAAGTAGATTGAAAGGGCACTGCAGTTTTAACAATTTAAAGGCTAAAGCATGTTTAAGATGAAACTTGAATATTTATTGTATATTGCACTTAAAGTATATAGAATGTTAAAATGTATTGATTAAATTTGTAAAAGGCATTATAAAAATGACAGGTAGTATAAAAGATGTATGCCTTTTAAAATCAAATTGATAGTGTATGCTATCTCTTCTGTGGTCACAAGTGTAATTTTTTCGCAGTTTTATATGATAATTTGAAAAATCTGTAATTTCACATTAGGAAATGATTGAACCTGGGATGTTAAAAAACAAAAGAAAGAAATTCTCCATAAGGGGAAGAACTGGATGTTTAATATAATCTTTTGTCTCTGAAATTGTTCCTAAAGTCTTATTTTTTGTGGCATTAGGAGGGAGTATAGTATAAGGATTCTTCCATGCTAATATACAATTTTAATATTTCTGAAAAGAAAGAGCACTTGACTAGTACTAATATCTAATTTTTCAAGGCATTTATTTGTCAGGAGAGATTTTCTCTTCTTTTCATAATGTTTAAAACATCTCCCTGTTTGCAGTTTAAAAGATGAAGGTAGAGATTAGATTCTTCTAAGATAATTAATCCTATCCTTAGATTAAAAAAATATCCCAGTAGGGAATAAAGAAGACAAATACTAGTATCCTAAATATTGAAAAGCCCCAGAGTCTCCTTATAGGGCTAATGCTTGTTTTCCAATCTACATCCTGAGTCAGTATTTTTATTTTCATGCCCCTGGATCTCCTCTCTTAAAGAAGCAAAAAAAATTTTTACTCATTAAAAACAACAACTTTCACCAATCTATTTTCTCTCATAGTTAAAACCTTGTTTCCCTTATCCTGTTATGACCATTGGCTGATAATAATGTGAGAGAGGTTCTGCAAAGAAAAAAGGGGATAAGCTATATAGATTCTACAGGAAAACTGGGGAAACCCAACTCCGAGAAACAGTTCAAGGCTAATTGTTATAGGTTTTTACTTATGTTTCAGAGCCTTTATAATAAAGATGTTGAATGGACTAGAAATAAGGAAGGAAGATTCATCTGTACTTCCTATGTTGCAACCCCATCAATTAACAAATTATGTTTGAGTTTCTTGTTGCCCCAGCAGTCAACAAACTGGTATTACTCTCCAGCACTTTTCAAGGCATATTATCTACTTAGAACTAAGGTACAGGGTTCAATGGGCATTACAGAAGATTCTCCCTATCATCTATCTGGTCCTACCCTCTCTATCCAATCTCCTCTCCCTACACATCTGAAGAATGGCTCTCTATTCTTGTCTAGCTAGTCCTCTCTAGCCTAGAAGCAAAATGTTGGCTCTTTACCATCTCCAGGCCTTCACTCCTTTCACCTTTTCTTTATTTGGAATGCTGGCTGATATCTGTGCCCATTTATAATGCCTTCTCATCCTCCAAAGCCTGGCCATAAAGGTGGTGATGATGGTTTGCTTAATGATAAAAATTACTGTCATTTGTGGAAAGTGGAACATTAACTCATCAGTCTTCACAGAGAGCCTCTTACGGTGCTGTCCACACCACCGTTTTGGCAGATGAGGAAACTAAGAACTCAGAGAGGTCAGCCAACTTTCTCTGTGTCCACACAACTGACCACTGCCTAACTCAAGTGTTAGACATCACACCCCAGGCTCTTGAGAATGACACTGTTCTATCAGAATGAATTCCCCTTCACCACAGCTTCTAATCTCTCTCATTCCTCTGAGAACAGTGCTGACTGTCCCATCCAGCACAGCACAGCACAGCAGTAGATGGCTGTGTTGCTCTGATTTTAACTATGTAAGTCTTCACTCTCTGTAAAGACTGTAGGCCCTATGAGGCCATGAATATTTGATCACTTCTCTAAGCCCCTAGCACAATGTCCAGAAAAGCACAGGCCTTGAGAAATTTTCATTGAAAAGTTTATTCTAAGATGGTTTCTGATTTTTAAAAGTACATGC